TTCATAAACCCCATCACTGGAAATCTTTTGGCTAACCAGATATAGGCTACTGATGGATTATACTCAGAATTAAAGGTGAAAATACATTATAAAAGTGGTAGTTTAGTGTCCACAGCATAGATCACAAAACCTCCCAAATTTATTGAAATTGAAAGCCAAAGCATCTCCTGTATGTACTAGATGCATACATCTGGCTGCTAGCTTCCCATTTCCCTTGAATGTCTTACAAACATCAAAATTATACCATATGAGAAATTTGACTGTTTTTAAAAATATCTAGTTTTACTTATTTGCAAATACCAGTTAGAGAGTGGGAGAGGGAGAATTCTGCTGGTCTGCTCCCTAAGTGGCTGCAGTAGCTGGAGCTGGGCTGGTCCACAGGCACGAGCCAGGAGATTTTTCCTGTTCAGCAACATGGATGCAGGGGCCCAAGGACTTGGGTTATGTTCCACTGCTTTGTACATGCTTCTGAGCAGATGTAGGAAACAGATCAAGAGTTCGGGGGGGCGGGGGGCACCACGGCAGCATAACAGGCTCATCCTCTAGTTGCAGTGTTGGCTCTTCATGTTTGCTTCTTTGCTTCCCTAGGAAAGTAATGAGACCACTCCCGAATGAGTCCCTGTTTGGCATCCAATGGATTTGTGAACCGGAAATTGTGGCTTCCTGGGAGATGAGTTGGGTAATAGGCTATAGCAAGTGAGAGGGACAGGGTTGGGAAGACAGGGAGAAGGAGAAAAAATGTAACTTGAACTCTCCAGCATATAGATCATGTTCTTAATCTCCAGGAGTGAGATTTCAGCTTTCCTTTTAGCTCTAAGTAGTCAATTCCCCTATTTGTGCATATTGCTATGAAACATAATAAGCTGGCCTTCTTTTTCATTAAAAAAATATTTAAAATAAAAACAATAATTGGAAGGATTATGGCAGAGAAGACTTTGTTCCTCAGTGGTGTGTGAAACTATATAGTTAATTATTGAAAACTGAATATGCATAAGTCATGGTTACTAGAAAGACTCAGTCACTTCCAGTCCACATTCTCATTTCATGGACACATTTTAGCACTGGTGAAGAAAAAGGAGTTATAAAAAGTAACATGTGATTGCTAATGCTGGACTAAAATACAGTCTAAAGGAAACTAGCTTCTTAGTGCTCATAAATATAGCCAAAATGATAGCAACCAAAAATGTTTAAGTTTCAGAGGCCTTTTTTGGTTTTAATTTTTACTTAATTATTCATTGGAAAGGCAGAAAGACAAAGATCTCCCATCCACTGGCTCACTCCTTTGTTGCTCCCAAAAGCCAGGACTAGAGCAGGCTGAAGCCAGGAGCCTGTGGCTGATGCTGGTCTGCTGTAAGGGTGGCAGGACAGAGTGCTCCAGCCATCACCACTACTGCCAGGGTGCACACTGATGGAAGCTGGAAACCCAAGCAGAGTGAGACTTGAACCCAGGCACTCCAGTTGTGGTGCAGTTGGTTAAGCCACAGCTTGCAGTGCCAGCATCCCAATCTGAAGGCCAGTTTGAGTCACATTTGCACCATTTATGACCTACTTCTTTGCTAGTGCACCTGGGAAAGCAGCCAGAGATGGCTCAAGTACAGCAGGCCCAGCCACCCACATGGGAGATTCAGATGAGTTTGGAGCTCCTAGAAAGTCTCCTCTCTCTCTTTCTCTCTCTCTCTTTCTCTCTCTCTATCTTCCTATCTCTATTTCTATCTCTCATCACTTTACCTTTCAAATACAAGTAAATAGATCATTTTTAAGTGATGAGAAATCCTGTAACTGGCAGACTTGAATTTCTTTTGTTGTGACGTGTGAGGCAGAGATCCCATTTTGCCTTTCCTGATGATTAGTGCTGTTTATTGAATACCTCCATCTACTATACGAGCCAGCACTCCCTTCACAGTGCTGCTTTCAGGGTTTTATTTTTTTAAAGATTTATTTCATTTATATTACAAAGTCAGATATACAGAGAGACAGAGAGGAAGATCTTCCGTCCGATGATTCACACCCCAAGTGAGCGCAACAGGCCGGTGCTGTGCCGATCCAGAGCCAGGAGCCAGGAACTTCTTTCCAGGTCTCGCACATGGGTGCAGGGTCCCAAGGCTTTGGTCTGTCCTTGACTGCTTTCCCAGGCCACAAGCAGGGAGCTGGATGAGAAGTGGAGCTGCCGGGATTAGAACCGGCGCCCATATGGGATCCCAGCGTGTTGAAGGCGAGGACTTTGGCCACTAGACCACGCCACTGGGCCCTTTCAGGGTTTTTTTAAACTGTCAGTCTGCTCTGTGATGATGAACTTCATGAGCTGAGTATCTGAGAAATTTTAGAGCACAGTATTCAGGTAGGGTATTTCTCAATGTATGAAAAACCCCACTTCTCTAAAACTAATTCTTCAATAATATAGGAGAAATCAGTGGGATGGAGGGGATTGGGGAAGGGGAAGAAGGGGAAATAGGGAGAGGGAAAAGGGAAAATCCCTGAGCCTATGGAACTTTATCATTAAAAATTTTGAAAAATTTAAAACCTGCTTCTTCATTTTGTAAGTGTTTGTCTCAGGAATCCACAGCCTTTTATGAAACACACGTATTTTCCTTAACTGCTTTAACTTAAAAAAAAAAGTACATGTGATTATCAGAGCAAAAGTATAACAACCACCATCATTCCTTTAGTACTTGGGTGTTCTTGTGGGCTTTTTAATTGCATGCTTCTTCCACAGAGTAATAGAATGTACAAGACCTTTGGTGTTTAAAATTGTCATTGAGTAGTTCAGTACACCAACCTCCCTTCGTTAGGTCCTCACTTGACTCTGCATTCCCATCATAGCTAAATACCCTCTGATGTCCTCCAGAAATATGTACTTGCTTATGCTCTTGCCTAAAATATAACTCCGTATTCCTTGATCTAAGATATAAATGATCTTTTGGGACACAATTTAGACATTACTCCCTGTGCGAAGTGACCTTTGACCCATCCTGTGGCCTCAGAGCCCTCGCACCTGCAATCCCCTGTGCACCTTCCATCACGCTGCTTATGCCATTGTGTTGACAATGCCTACTAGTGCTCTGCCTGTCTACTAGACAATCAGATCACCTTGCAAGCACTGGGACTCCATATGGATTTAAAGTTTAAGTCCCAGGTGCTCTACTTCCCATCCAGCTCCCTGCTTATGGCATGGAAAAGCAGTGGAGGATGGCCCAAAACCTTGGGATCCTGCACATACATGGGAGACCTAGAAGAGGCTCCTGACTCCTGGCTTCAGATCAGCTTAGCTCTGGTCATTGTATCCATTTGGGGAGTGAACCAGTGGATGAAAAATCCTTCTTTCAGTCTTCCTCTTTGAAAATCTGATCTTCCTTTCCAATATAAATAAATAAGTAAATAAATAAATCTTAAAAAGAAAAAGAAAAGCAATTTATGTGAGAAGAGAGACAGAGTCCTCATGTGCTGGCTTGCTCCCTCAAGGGCTCACAATAGCCAAAGCAGGGTTAAGAAGGAGGAAGAAGCCAGGAATTCAATTCAGGTCTCTCATGTGAGTGGCTGAAACTTAATCATTGGAGTCACCGTGCTCTCTTTCAGGTTCAATATTAGAAGAAATTTGCAAATAGTAGAGCTGCAACTCAAACCCAAGCACTCCAATTTGTAAAGATGTGAGTGCCCTAACTCGGGTCTTCATCACTCAGGCAAATGCCCACCTCATGAATGTTTTTAAATAAAATGAATATAAGTACAAAAGCTTGGTACAACCATTGTTGGCATTTTTGTTTTGCTTCCAGCTAACTTTCTCCATCAACTCCACTGCCTATAAAACACTGAGTACTTCTGTTTTCACTTAATAGAATACCATTGTTTGGAAAATACTGTTAGGCAGTTTTTTGTGTTACTATAAATTCTTTGGAAACTTCACTTTTATGACTGTAGCAAGGACATTATCCTTTAAAGGTAATATAGTTTACTCAGCTATACTGTATTGTTAGACTGTAAGTTACTTGTGGTATTTTGCTACTACAAACAGTGCTTAAATGAGTATATGTCACTGATAGATTCTCTACAATACATTCTGAAAATGTGAAAATTGTCCAGTTTTGCTTATTATCAACTTCCTAGCTCAGTGATCCCTTAATTACAATATCTTTGCAAAATAGCAAAGATTATATAGACAGAAAGAATCTCATTTTTGATAATTTATTGGCCATGTATATTGCTCTGTGGTTTCTACAATGATAACCATCACCCATTTAAATGTCTATTGGATTGTTTTCCTATTTATTTAAAAGCTTTCACAGCAGTAGTTTGGCCTGGCAGTTAAGATTCCCTTGTTCCATATCAGACGGTGTAGTTTTGATTTTCAGCTCCAGCTTTCTGCCAGTAGACTGTGAGAGGCAGATTAAAGCTCAGCTTGGGCCCCTGCCATCCGCATGGGACACCTGAGCTGAGGACTGCATTTCCCAGGCCCAGTAGGCGTGTGGACGTAGGGGAACAGCCTTGTGTCATAGTGTGTTCAGCTACTGCTTGTGACACCAACATCCCATACTGCAGTGCTAGCTCAGGTCTTGGCTATTCTGCTTTCAATACAGCTTCCCACTCATGCACCAGGAAAGTCAGCAAGAGATGGCCCCAATGCCCGTGCCCTCGCCTTCAATGCCAGAGACCCGGGTGGAGTCTCAGGCTCGTGGCTACAGCCTGGTCAAGTCCTGGCTGTTGTGATCATTTGGAAAGTGAGCCAGGGAATGGATGGAAGATTTTCCCCACCCTTCTCTATCTTTCCCTGCCCTTTTCTAATGCTCATCTTTCAAACAAACAAATAAATCTTTAAAAATAAAAAAAATAAAAAGATGAGATTAGGTCTGCATAATTGTAGATTAAGGCTTTAATTAGAGTTTTTACAGAACGACCAATTTTTCTGTTATACTCCCTTTTTGCCTCTAAAGAAATGGTCTTAGAGGAAATTGTGTGGAAATAACCAGTAGTCCATGTTTACCATGAACTTTGCTTTCTCCTTGCAGGTGAGCAGGAGCCGGCTGTCAGCAGTGACTCTGACATCTCTTTGATTATGGCAATGGAAGTTGGACTGTCTGATGTAGAACTTTCCACTGACCAAGACTGCGAAGAGGTGAAATCCTGAAATGGCAAATATGGAAGACAGAGATCAAGGGGCCCATGGGGAGGGCATGGAGGAGTGCGCCAAGACTTGAATAGGCTCACATGCCTCCAGAACACCTGGCCAACTCCAGGACACTTCCTGCAAGAATGGAAATGAAAAGCAATATCCAAAGTCACATAAACCAAGATGCATGTGTGCATCTCTTCGACAGCCCTTGGCCTTGACAGGTTGGAATCTGGAAGGATCCCCCTCATTTCCTTGTAGACATATACTTCTGAAGCTCCTAAAACAGAGGCTTGAAAGGACACCGTAAGAGTTTCTTAGCTTCTTTGTAACTTCTTCCAGATTGATGTTATCATCCTTGTTTTAGGAATATATGTGTTGTTTAGTTTCTTTGGCAATTTCTTTGTAAAGACAACCTGCAGTTGATGTCTGCTCCTGCGTTTTTCCTTTGATTTACTCTGGCTTTTGTGTGGAGTTGGTTGAGAGGCAGCGGTTCCTGCTAGGATCTGTTGCTGCTCCCTCTTGAGATTCATGGTCTTGTCCTCTCGGCATGAAGTATGCATGGCTTTGAGAAGTGCCTCAGCACCCCGACACAGCCCAAGGATAGCTTTCCTTAACAATCTGAGTCCTTTTAAGTGAGTCTCAAAGATCCTAGCTACCAGAGACCCCAATACTAAGCTCCAAATCTGCTAAGACCACCCATCCTGTCACGCCAGGCTCTGGGAACGGCCCGTGTGACATGGGGAGGGAGCTGTGAAGGTGCTTCCATCCTTGAGGTCAAAGCCGGAAGTGCCCTCCAGGATCTGAGCATCAGTCTTCCCAGGGTAGAGGGTGAAAGTCTCCCTTCCAAACCAGAAGTCATGTGTTCCTTCCAGTGAAATCAAAATGTCTGTAGCCTTGCTCTCCCTGGGGCTCCTGGAGTTTTGATTGCCTCTGAGGGTTGGCAGGGCATGGAGATGCTAAAAGAGGCAATCCCATTTGAGCCCACTGGCAAACAGAGTGACAGATGCAGGAGCACCTGCGTTTTACCTTAATCCCCACACACTTCTGTGAAACCTCATTGGGCCGCACACGGAAGAATGTAGGTCAGTCAGGAGAGGATTGCCTCCCCCGGGTGCCCAACATGGGGGCCAATACCTTAAAGAGCCATGGGGTGAGGACATCAGTCCTTTAATCCAAACAGGACAGCCTGGGAATTTGCTAAACCAATTTTACCCTGACTGAGAGAGAGAGAGAAAGGAAGGGAGGTGGGGAGGCAAAGAGGTTGGCCAATGAATCCCAGAACCCCCTGGTATTTTTAAACCATTTGTGTTTTGTATTCAGTTTTTGTACTTATGACAGAAATGTGCTATTTTTTTCAGTGGGTACTTTTGTAATACATTTAGACTCACCGCCGTGGGGGATGGAAGGACTAGATGCTCTGGACCATGACAATGGATCGTGTTACCATCTCTAGGCTGCTGGTAAAGGGCAAGCAGCTGCCCGCTCGCCACAGCAGAGAGCTTTTCTGATCACGTTGTATTTACATATTTGATGAGGGCTTTTCCACCTCATTACACTAATACCTACTCACTGGCAGCACTCAGTGCTGCTAAAAACCCTGGCTGCCTGCTGAGCCCAGGACTGCCAGGGGAGGACTGGGGGCCCTTGGTTCACCCTCTTTGGTGATTTCCTGGCGGGGGGGAGGGGGGCTTCTAAGTAGATGGTGAGGCAAGAAACTCAGCCTCCTCTCTCTAGGAGTCCAACATTGCCATGTGCTGAAAGCCAGTCTCCATAGTGTGACAAAGAAGGCAGCCGGTCTCGGAGGGTGCTCTGAAGCAGGAGGCAGAGGAGGCAGGAGTCCTAGAGGAGCCAGGCCCTCCCATGTGAGACCTCCACCTCTCCATGTGCAGAGTGAATGGTTCCACAGCTTGCTTCCCAGAGGCTTCTCTGGGCTTTGGAATCACTGATGAACCCTCTGCCCAGCGGGGCCCTTTCCTTGCACAGTGAACAGGCTCTCTAACTTGGGGAGGTAGAGGGTTATGACATGGAACAGAGAAGAGCTGGCTCTGATCTGGCCCTCATGAGGTCTGAGATGAAGATCTAAATGATGGACATTTTAGGCCCAAGGAGGAGTTGGTCTATTGCCTTGTTTAACAGCTGCTTAGAGTCACAGCATTTGAGACCAATAGGTGTCTTCAAATCCAAGCCCTTGGTGTGGAGTTGTTCCTCTCTAAGAGAGTTCCTGCTCTCAGCTGAGGCTCATACCAGTGGCCTACTCTTCTCTGTGATCTGACCTCCAGTCCAAAGGTAACAGTCCTTCAGCAATTGAATGTGAGCCCTTGCAGCCACAGACCAAATGAGGCAGGGATTGCTTGTCCATGGATGCTGTGGCCATAGCCGTTTCTTTAGGATGCTGTGCAGGTGACAAGGAGTTTTTAAGGGCCCACTCTGATCCCAAGGAGTTCTAGCTACAAAGGCCTAAGCCTAGGAGACAAATTCATTGCAATCTGTTTCTGGGGGTGGGTTTCCTGTAGCTTTGTAGTTAAAATTTTTTTACAGAAGAAAGGAAAGTAGTCCTTTTCCACAGCCTTTCTCACCTCGCCCAAAGACAAGACCCTTACCTGGGGACCCAGCAGTTCACAGAGGAGTGTCGGAGGGTATGTGAATCCTCAGAAGTCAATACAAGTTGGATGTCTTTACAGATGTGCCTATTTTTCTGCAGCAAGTTCAGACCATCACTGCCTACTCAAAATAGGATGCACAACACATCCGTCATTCTTAACTTTCTACTAACCACATTGTAAAAAGTGAAGAGACAGGTGAAAGTGATCCCACACTGCATTTTATTTAACTCTGATTTTGTTTTTTTTTTAACGTATAATTTAACTGTTTTATTATTTCAACATATAATTTGTGTTTAAAAGTATTAAGGAAATATTTTCCATTCCTTTTCTAAGCCTGTCATGATTTTTAGATTCACAGCAGGTCTCAGTTTGAGCTGGCCACCTCTGAGGCACACAACAGCCATGTGAAGCTTCCAGCTGGACATTGCTGGAACAGAGCTCTTCCAGGGAATGGCAGGACTCCCTACACCTTATGAAAGACAAAGTTTGAAACTGCAGTTACCTCCAGAGAGACATAGCTATCGCCCAAGTCACCTGCTGAGTGACCTGGAGGTCAATTTATTTTGAAATGTGTGCTGGAACTTTACCCCAGTGGTGTCCATGGTCATGTAAGGCTTTTCTCTGACCAGCTGTTTCTTAGAAAATCATGCCAACCCTGATGATTAGGTGCTGAAAAAAAATACTATACCCTCACATCTCATACCCCTTAGACTGATACATGGCACTTAGGAGCCAAAGACAATGCCAGACTGAAGTCACCTATTTTCACCCCAGCCCCTTTTACTCTCTACTGGGCAGAGGTCTGCCCCAATCCCAGAGCCACTAGCCCCACAGGTATGGTCAGAGCTTATGGATTTCAGAGAACAGTGACAAGTTGCATAGTGACTCCAAATTCAACACATCATGTGGCCTTATTGAAAAAGAATCCATGAGGTTTTTTTGACCATCCAACCTCTACTTGAAGTTAGGACCAGCCCAGCAGCCAGCTTTCTGCTTAAAGCCAGTACTGTCCGTGCCCTCTGACTCTAGAGAGCCAAGGAGCAGCTGCATTGACTCCAAGTCATGTAGAATCATCCCTAGGACTCACTGCCTGTGATATGACTCACCGCTTTGGAAAGGCTGAGCCCCGACGACGAATACAGCTTCGGAAATGTGATGTATCCCTGGGATGCTCACGGTGCCCTCCACCCAGTAGAGAGGTAGAATGTCAGAGGGACAAAGGTACCTGCCTTGACCATACATGGTAACACTCATAGCGAGCAAAGCCAGTCTGTCCAAAGAGGTTTTGGACTAGTCTGCTTTGCAGGTTTTGTTTTGGTTTTCAGCATTTCTCTCATCCTGGTGTAACATCCGGGACATTTCACAGCTCTGGCTTTGGTTATATCAAAACTCACGGCACCTGATGACCATTCCTTCAGCGAATGTCCTGTAGGTACTTTGCTTTCAGAATCAAAAACAAAGGCACATTGTCCGGCATATGTTTCTTCATTAATTATGAGTAGTTTTTACATGGGAATCCATTCACCTGAAAATCCAGCAGCATTCAGTTCTCCACTGAGTGGCTCACCTTGACTGAGAAGCAAAAAAGTCTTGATTGGCTCAAACCCTTCCTGGAGACAGGCTCTGTGGTGTGAGGACCAGCACGGCTGCTTCCTGGGGCAGCTTTCTGTCCTCTCACTTTGATATCCCGGGCTCCCTTTGCCTACCCGTTTCCCTCTGTGACACACACAGATTCTTTTTCCATAATCTCCTCCTTCTCCTTGTCTTATTGCTTGGTCCTTTTGTGAAAGAAAGTTAAAATAACCTTCAGGATAGAAAGCATGGGCAGCTCTGTGCTGTGTTGCCAGTGTGGCTAGTCTTGTAGTGTTCACCTTACTTTATTGTCTGGCTGTGTCTATAGTTTCCATTCTAACAAGGAAAAAGTTTATTATAGGAGCAAGCCAAGTTTCCCTCTAATGAAGTAAGCCTCACTTTCCTTCTACATATTGCAAAGTATGTCTCATGCCCCCTACACCTGTTGTCTTGTGCACCAGTCTCAATGCCAGTCTAGTCTCCTACACAAACAGTGGCAAGGTAAGCTCTCCAGCATGCTGTCCGGATCTGGTATCTTCTGTTTCCAGCATTTGTGACCTTCCCACATCACCACATACCCCACGTGGTGCCCACCTCTCACCTTCACATCTTAGCACAAGACCTTGCACTTGCTAAACAATCTGAAGATCATTTGTTCCAAAAGATTAACAAAGAGGCATGGAGAGACCCAGCTAATCCTCAGCCTGCAGATGCCAGCATCCCATATGAGCACCGGTTCATGTCCTGGCTGCTCCACTTTCCATCCAGCTCCCTGCTTGTACCCTTAAAAAGCAATAGAGGATGGCCCAAAGCCTTGGGACCCTGCACTCCTGTGGGAGACCCAAGAAGCTCCTGGATCCTGTCTTTGGAGCAGCTCAGCTCTGGCCATTGTAGTCACTTGGGGAGGGAACTATTGGACGGAAGATTGTTCTCTCTGTCCTTCCTTCTCTCTATAAAATCGGCCTTGCTAATTAAAAAATAAATAAAGGAATCTTAAGGGGGCGGGGGGGACATGAAGAGACTTCTCCAGGCTGCTGTGTAGCCAGCACTACATGAGCATGTTTGATGATAGAAAAGTAGGAGTCTAGAGTAAGTCAGGAATCAAAGTGGAAGCCAGGCTGTGGTGCAGAAAGCATGAGGAATACGTGCTCACTATATCAATTCAGAGATGACCTGTGGAGTATCTGGAGGAAGTGGGGCTTTTTAAAGGATGAAATATTCATAAACTACAACATTCAGGATTGCAAAGGTCTAAAGCTAAGTTTTGAGAAGCAGGTGTGCGTGTCCCATCCTCATGTGGCTTGTTCCCGGCTGTTCTCCCAGACCCTCTGTTATAGCCATGGGCATCTGCCAGGCCCACAGGTCAGCAGCCACACTCTTCCACTTGTAGCCATTGGATGGTGCTACAGTGTCATCCCGGCTCCCAAGCGAGAGCCTTTCACCATCAAGCCCCTGTTTGCGCCCCGAGAACCTGCTGAGATCGGGCCCATCTCTGCAAACTATCTCACGTGTTTCACATCAAGTGACTTTTCAGAATCTCAGTGATCAAGATCTCATCCGAAGCCACCGGCAATGCTTGTGCTTCCTCCACAGCTGTTCATTATCGAGTGAAACAGATGTTGGTGATAAGGAGAAGCCATGAGTACATTGAGAGATCTACAGATCTAGAAGCAGAAAGGAAGAACATGTGTTGAGAAGATGGCTGAAGCTGGCTTTCCCAGGGTCATTACTTGGCAGAACATCTGTGGTTTTGCTATCCTGACTGGGGGGAAAGGGCCTGGAGAAGCAGGGAGAATGTGGGGACCATGTATCCTACAGAAACCAAAGACTGAGCTCCACTCACGTGGACACGTGTTTCTCCCCTTAACCAGTAGAGTTTTCTCCTAATGTTGTAAGTAAACGTGATGATGCATTGGGCGACTGAATGTCTAAGAACCTATTGATTAGCCTGACTACACCCAGAACTCTAAGAAGCATCGTGGCCTTAGTCCCACGTCATCTTCAGGGTCCGCTGTTTAGTTCCTCTTTCCTACAAAGTTTCAGACAAATCTTGCGCTTTAATGAACTCAGAATATTGTTCTCTTTGAGAATGTGAAGATTTTAAATAGCCAAAGAATTTTCGTGTCCAAGTATAATAAGAGCTAGCTAATTAGAGTATACCCCCACTCCTTTGAACACCAAACACTCAGAGCAGTTGAAGGACTTTCCCGAAGGGTTTCCGTTGTGGAGGGTATGATTGTAAAGGGCACGGCGCCCTCTGTTGGATTAGTCGCAGCTACTCTTTAGCAAATGGTTTTGACTTGGGTCACCATTTCCTCTACCACTTGATTATTTGCCTTTCATTGTACAGTTTTCTCCATAGTTGAAGAAGAAAGACAGTCGCAAAGTGTGAGAAGGAGTCTTCACGGAAGATCCCACTGCTAGCTACCCTTTCTCAAAGTGACCATACGTGGCTGTTTGGCCTGGGAAGTGTGTGCAGTTGTAAGCAAGAGCCAGCTTGCTCTGTTGCCTAACTTTATTCATGTGGCATTGCAAAGGAAAATCAATAAAAGGACTTTTTTCATGGGGATGTAAATGGTGTGAAATATTGACGTGTTTTGTACATGTACATAATAGATTTACTTCCTGCTTTCACATTAGTAACCTGAAACGGTTGTACCATTTTATAATTAGAAAAAGATGCAGGGGTGGGGGCCTTGGGAAGGGGCTGTTATTTTTATAGTGGGAAGTCACTTATATTTAGAAAACTTGAAGTAATTTTGTATTTGTGAAGAACTTACATTCCATCCATTTCCTGAAAAAATAAATGAGTGTTGTGGTTTAAGACTTTTTTTTTCTTATCTTGGGGGGAGGATTATTCTCGTTCCCAGGGGAACCTCCCCAAACAGTGTTGAAGCAAACCCCATTTTGTAGACTGAAGACCATAACCAGCAAATGTCAGCTGTAAGATGTGGGGAAAAAATACCCGATTGATTTGACCTCCTTTGCTTAGCACGTTATTAACCACTGGGGGGTGGAGGGAACTTGCTAAGAATGAATTTACAGGTATGAAAGAATCAGGCATGATATTGTAACACCACCCTACCAGCAAAGGGAAAAATCAGACAGCTCTCTTTTTCCCTCCTACGGTGAACTGCAGACTCCACTGCTCGGCGCATGTCACGGGTAGACTGCATAGCTTTCCTGCACAGTCGTGGTGGCCAGTCTGCAGGTGCTGCGTGATGGTCCCCCAGCACACATCATGACACTGAGGTTGTTTGACTTCTTTGCCGTCTGACCCCTTCTCTCCCTCCCAAACACACACACACTCACACACACACACACACACACACACACACACACACACACACTCACACACACACACACACACGCACACGCACACGCACACTCAAAGTCCCTCCTGATGGCATTTGCTCCAGAGGAGATTTTGATCGGGATTTGAGCTTAGCACTCTGTTGCTGAAGTAATGCAGTAGTGGACTTTGTAGCCATTTGACCCAAATATGATTTTCTGTACAAAGTTACGTGTATATTTAGATGATTAGTTAAGGTAATAGCATTGTCTGCTTTTTCTGTACAAATCTTTTTCCTTCTAACCTCAGGCACCTACTCTTCTTTCAAAGCACTTTATATCTCTTGTGAATACAAAGAAATTTGAAATTAAAAGCTCTCTGTGAAGGAGTGTGTCTTTTCCAAGGCAGATTTTATTTTGTTCTATCTGACTCTCTGTGTGCCTGGAGAGTGTAGTTTGTCTCATCCTAGGCTAGTTGTGACATGAAGGGTGGTAGTTGGAAGCAGTCATGCCCCGTCACTATTTTTGTTATCTAAAAGAATATAACGTAAATACATCCAATCATGTTCTTACCTACTGGTCAAAAATATATTATAATGATAAAAGTTTTCAAACAAGAATTGTAAACTTCGGGAAATTTCACTGCAAAATTTTGTTTGGTTTGGTTTTGTAATAAAATGGAACCTGATGTTTGTGTCTGTGTTATCTCTGTCCCAAGATTCTATTGCATATCCCTGAGTTCCAGAGGTGACGCCATGCATGTCAAAGCACTGATGCTTAGCCTGAACTGGTGATTCGGGAATGGTCATATGTTCCTCTTTTCTCTCAGGGAAGTCAAGTGCTGGGCCTCAGAGTTCCTTCAGGTTCTAATCTTGCCAGGAAAGGAGAAGAGTTTGGGCAAGGCAAAAAGAAAAAAAAAAAGCCAGCAGCTATGTTAGTCTCAGGGGCTGCTGTGGGGTGGAACACCCTACCCAGATTCTAGGCCAGGTGAGCTTAGGCCATCTATACCAAGAGTTAAATGATCTGGGGCAGCCGGACATTCTTTCTGAATGAGCTGGGACAGAAACTCCTGAAAATGAGCAAGAACACACAAAGGAAATAGAAACTAGAGAGCCACCAGCCTGGGAAAAAGGCAGGGCAGGACACGGTAGGAAAGACCTCTGGCACCTGCTAGACATCAGCAGTCTGCCAGTGCGGCTTACCTTGCTGGGTCCTGCCCGCAGACAATTCCTGACACAGCACTTGGAGGGACATGCAGGGTTTGTGACATGCCAAGCTCAGAAGAACGGTGACTAGGCACTCCCTCCTCACCAGGCGTGACTCCAGAGCTGAGGATCCCACAGGGTTGGCTCACACCTGCTGCAGAATGTTTGGCTTTCCTGAGCAACTGTGTGAATCAGGTCAGACCCGAGTACTCCAGAGGCTTCCCAGGGGTCAGCCTTATGCTTTGTTTGTAGGAAGGAGGATTATGATAAGGAACAATAGAGATTATGCCATATTAGAAGGCATTTAAACTGTATCACCAGGGCCACCATAGGGGTGCTGAGGGTTAAGCTGCGGCCCAGGACAACCTTATCCCATAGCAAGTGCAGCTTCTGCTCACGGCTACTCCACTTCCAACCCAGCTCCTTGCTTGTGTGCCTTGGCACAGATAGCAGAGAATGGCCCATGAGCTTGGGTCCCTGCCACTGTTGTGAGTGAACTAGATGGAGTTCCA